TATATTAATATAGTACATATATATGTACTTTTCACACACCTTTTTTTATACGTTTGTAGCCTTTACGTCACAGCTCACCAATGACACTTTTTAGAGGCAAAACTTGTTACAAGAAATTAATTTTATAGGAACACATGTTTTTAAACACGCGTTCAATAAGCATGTCACAATCAGAAAACAAATGACGGACTTGCTTTTGAAAGCGATATTACGCCAGCTGTGTAAAAACCATTGACAGGTATTTTTTTTTTATTTGTATTTATAAAGAAATTTTATGGATTACAGTGAACAGGTGTTTGAAAAAATATTAATCAGGTAAGACAAGTTGATAACAGTCACTGCGCAAAAGTTGGAGAATCTATGTTCAATAGTTAATGAAATATTTGACAATAATTTTCGCTACGAATTTTTGACCGCACTATAAATTATAGATATTATCTAGTCTGCACTCTTGAGATAAGTTCGCTTTCTCAACATTTCATTGCTGTTGCAAGCAATCCTCTTTTGTCTGTTTGGATACTTTTTGCACCAGATACTAAAATGAAACGGCTAATTTTCGCTGTGTTGTTCCCTATAAGTAATAATGAAAAGGAAGAAAATTATAAGCCTTGACCAGTAGCATTAAACCGCATTTTAGTGATGTTGAAAGGAGCATCTTTGGGAGATATTTTAGAGGGTGTAAAAATAGAAAATTCTCAAAACTTGGACTGAAGTGGATTGCTTACGACAGCTACGTTATACCAAGGAGGAACTCATTCTTACAGAGAATCCAAAACAAACGTTTGCTGGTACCTTATTATAGATCGAGCATCTTATTCCTGACAGAATATTACAGACAAACAATGACTGAGGATAGTATACGCGGTTGTTTTTTTTGGTGTGTGCTATTAAGTTGCTTTTCGTCGTGGGCAGGGGTACGGATGTGCAGGGGTGCAGCGATGCGGGAAGGGGTCTCATCTGCTGTTTTCGCCTAATGTTGTATGCCGCCAGAGCAACACCGGGACGATATTTAAAATTCAAAATTCAAAATCTTCATACCGTAGCGGATATCTCTATTGCACCTGTACAATAGCAAGACACAGCCTTACATGTTCCTTGATTCCAACTATTTATTAACGATTTCTCTCCTTTGGAGCATGGCAAAGGCGTCACGATCTGAAGGGAGGGAAGCGGTGCTTGGACTTAGTTACTTCCTTTATGAAAAACGCCCAGACAAAGCTGTATGATGCATACTGCTTTAAGACCGTCTGTCAAGACGCGAAGAGCCATTGTAACTGTTTCCTTCTTTGACGTGGTCTTTTCTCCTGTTCATGGACATGTGTGAGCCAATACAAATAAAATGGCAGACTCAAAACATGCGTAGGTGAGGTAGTGAGCTTGAATGTGCAAGTAATATAATAATGTATTTGCACTCTTTACTTGACGCTCGTCTATTGATCTGTCTGTGACCACAGGCCAAATAAAACCAATCTGCATGATCAGATCGGATCGAGTCATGTCAGGTAATGGCGTTGGCCGATGCACACTATATTATATTATCCTAATATATTATGCTATAGACTTCTTCTTTTCTTCATCAAACTAAGTTTGAAACAATAAACAATATAAACTCCTCAATGCCATCTGACAAAGCAATTGGTTTTTTCCTGAGTCTACGTTTTGATTTCAGAGATTTGATCAAAATGTGACAAAGCTGTAGCTGTCTTATTCGATGCTTGATTTTTAGAGATTTGATCAAATTGTGACAAAGCAGTAGCTTTCGCAGCTACACGATGGAAAATCTCGCTGCTGTCAAATGCATCAAACAATTTCAAATAAGGATTTGACGGATCTTTCTGCAGTGCAATTGGGTTGAGGTACAGTCACTTCCTGTATGCAGGATATCCTGATATGGGTATTGTCTCTGGTTTTCTACACCTCTTATTCCTTTTTTCCCCTTAGATTCTATCGATCAAAATATATTTTTCTTTAGTCGGAGTATACCCAAGCAGGCATGGAATCCACAGACCTCTCTCTCTCTCTCTCTCTCTCTCTCTCTC